GACAATGTTATATCATGTGTATGTCAGTGGAATAGGACAATGTTATATTATGTGTATGTCAGTGGAATGAGACAATGTTATATTATGTGTATGTCAGTAGAATAAGACAATTATTTTGTTATTCTAAATCAACCTTATAGTATTGAGTGTACAAACATTTCAAAATGGCTGCCAATGTTACTCAGTGTTTACTGGTATATGTGCAGACAGTTCTGGTAAACCATGAGTCAGATTCTTGCAGTCAATGCATATTGAATGTTCTTGTTTTAATTTAAATATAAATATGAAATGTTTTGGCTTGTTGATGAAAGACAAGATCTACATGTGGTTTGATTGGCATCCCGTAGTTAAGTCGCATGTATATATACGATGTACGGTGTTTGAAACCCATACCCCTACTGTGTAGAGTAATGTTTAATTCCTTGTCGTGCTAAACACAAACTTTTAACTCATCGTATTCACTGTACAATACTTCAATAATAAAATCCGGTTTCTGTCTGTCCTTTAAAGCTATGTTCTATTTACATACCTGTTAGTTTCAGATTCAATAACTTTTAATAATAAGGTTCAGTATCAGTCAGGCCGGCCGGTCTTACTTCGAAAGTGTATTGTGCAATTCTCGTAGCATGCAAGACTGATTGTGTGTTCGTTTGATAAAGTACTCACTTTTCTTTCTTTTTTTGGCATAGTGCCAATTGCACCTTTTGCAACGTAATTGAAGTAGCTGTCATCGATTGAACCACAGTCCCTCGGGACTGCGATTGAACAAATCTGAAGTTAATGACACTTACTTATTTACATAAAAAAGACCATGTAATTTATGTGCTTTTCAGGAACAAGCTGTTTAAAACAAAAAAATTGACCAAAGCTGACAATGCCTGAGGTTAGGTAATGATGGACAACCACTAATTTGAATAGCTCCGGTCATCTTCCATGACAGTGGAGCTAAAAAACCCCAAACCCAAATATACGTGGTCGTTTCTTCCAAACAAGAAAACTGTTCAAAAAACCATCAAAGAGAAGAAAAAACAAAAAAAAGCTCTACTACTAAACCAACTTGAAACCTCAAAAGAAAACCCTTCTGAATTCTGGAAAACATTGCGTGAAATGAATAATGAAAAATCGCACAACGTGTGTAATAACAATATAAAACCAGTTGAATGGCTATCATATTTTAAAAAGTTATTTAATGCAAATTCCACATCCCACAGTGACGATTTAACTACTGAATTAAAGAACAAAGAAGAACACATGGCTCTTAATTCTGACTTGAACGGTCCAATTCTAAAAGATGAAATTTTAAAAGGAATTAACCTATTGAAAAATAATAAAGCTTCGAGTCAAGATAAAATTTGCAATGAAATGCTAAAACACAGCCAAGCCAACTTACTGAAAGCCATACATAAACTTTTTAATATAATTTTTAATTCAAACCACTTTCCAGATTCTTGGAACCTCAGTTTTTTGATACCAATCCACAAATCCGGCTCCAAATCTAACCCATCTAACTATAGAGGCATTGCCATTTCTAGTTGCCTTGGCAAATTATTTACAAGCATTCTAAACATTAGACTAACCACATTCTTAGAAAAAAAGAACATACTTCAAACAAGCAATTCTG